TAGATTTTGCATTTAATAAATATACAAACACATCATTATACACGTTATTAAATCAAAAGAAGAAGACGCGTTAATGTGTGTTTTAAAATTGCGGGAAATGTGCATGGTTAAAATCGCAACAAGCTAAAAATAAAGCTTTTTAACTTTTTTTTGAAATATTTAGATACATAAAGGGATGAGTTTTTCTGACTATTGGCCATCACCTAAAATTCTTGTTTTTTTTTTTTTAGGAAACATAAATGTACAAAAGATAATATTGAAAAAAGTTTAGCAACACAATGACTTCCTTGTTATTTGGTTATAATATTGTGTTTAAAAGCTAGCGATCTTTTATTAAGAAATTTATTCAAATTTTAAGATAATATATTTTTTAACGTTATTTTATAAAGATTTACTTTGTAACAGTTTTATTATAACATTATTTTACGTCAGATAACGATCTATTATATTCTATTTAGATCTAAATTCAATAACAAAAAATATAGAAAATTTAGGCTAGTGTTATTTATGTTTTGTATGAAATAACTTCTGGAATAACAGAAAAGTTTTATAAAAAAAAAATTTATCAAGATATTTTGATTTTTTAATTTTACATACGAAAAGTTCGAGTTAATCAAAGAAATTTGCTTTAAGGGAACAAAAAATGGTTCGACTTAATAAAGTTCGAGCTATCCGAATCGACTGAACGGAGATTTTTAATAGTAATCAAAGGGACGACTGAATAAGCGCGAATTCCATAAGTGCGAACTAGCATAAGTGCAAATGGCGTAAGCGCGAACTGACATAAGCGCGAATTGGCATATGTGCGAACTTATTTAAGTGCGAAGTGTTGCAAAAACTCGAACTGACATTAGTGGGATTTCGCCGAACAAATTTGAAAATATTGGCATAAGTGCGAATTGCAATATATGCGAACTGGCTTAAGTGCGAATCAGTTACAAAAACTGGTACAAGTGCAAACGGGCATAAGTGCGAATTGGTATAAGTGCGCCAAACAAATTTGCAAACATTGGCATAAGTGCGAATTGGCATAAGAGCGAACTGGCCTAAGTGCGAAGCAGTTATAAAAACTGACTATATGTGCGAACTGGCATAACTGCGAATTGACATAATTGCGCCAAATAAATTTGCAAATATTGGCATAAGTGCGAATTGTCATAAGTGCAAAATACTAATTTGCACTTATGCCAATATTTGAAATTTTGTTCGACGCACTTATGCTAATTTGTACTTATGCCAGTTCGTACATAGCTACGTAGCTAGTTTTACCAGTACGTAGCTAGTTTTTGTAACTGCTTCGCACTTATTCCATTTCGCACTTGTGCCAGATTTTGCAATTGCTTTGCACTTATGCCAGCTTGCACTTATGTCAATGACAGTTCGCAATTATGCCAATGTTTGCAAATTTATTCGGCGCACTTATGCCAATTTGCACTTGAGCCAGTTCGCACTTGTGCTAGTTTTTGTAAGTGCTTCGCAATTATGCCAGTTCGCACTTATGCCAATTCACATTATTGCCAATTCACAATTATATATTTTATATATATATATATATATATATATATATATATATATATATATATATATATATATATATATATATATATATATATATATATATATATATATATATATATATATATATATAAAATTCATAGTTAAATTTTATTGTTAAATTTTAATTTGATCGAATATATTTTTCTAGTAAAAAAAAAATAATAATAAATTTTAGAAAGTAGACAAACAAAATTAAAATAAGTAAAAAAATAACAACAACAACAACAACAACAAAAAAAAAAAAAATGAAAAAGACTTTTAAACAAACAAAAAAAATGTATTTAAAGTTTTATAGGTAATTTTTATTTTTAAAAAATTGTGAAAAAGTTAAAAACTACAAAACAAAAACGGTTATTTTTACCTAATACCGCGTAATTCTACCATGACCTTTTAAGCACTCATTCATACGATTTGGCATTGAGTCTATTAAATTCTCTAAAATATGTTTGGAAACCTTTCCAAATATTGTTGGTAAAATATTGGTAAATCTTGGTACTTTCATGGTAATCTCTTTATCAAGCCAACTCCAAAGATTTTCAATGCAGTTTAGACCTGGGCTATTTGGTGGCCAAGTTAGACGCTCAATTTTTTTTTTGCTTTCAAACCATTCAGAGACAATTTTAGCCCTGTGACATGGTGCATTGTCTTGCTGAAAATTGAACAAAACGCTTTGCTTAAGTTCATCAATTGAAGGTAAAAAATAATTTAAACATACCAAGACCATAATATGTCATGAAGCACCATATAACAACCAAACCGCTACCTTGTTTTTTTCTTTAATACAAACGATACAATTGAGTTTATATTTTTCTGAAGGTTGCCTGCTAATCACGATTTGGTTATTTTGGTTATAAACCTCGATATTCATCTTATCACTAAATATTAGTCCTTCTATTTTTTAAACCATTCTTTGACGCTTTGGTAAAATTTGTTTTGCTTTTTCATATGTTGTTTGGAAAGTTGCGATTTAAGAACAGCATTTTTCCATAACATATTGTTAGCTATTAGTTTCCTACGCATAAGTAATGCTGATGCTTAACGTCCATTTGAAAACTTCTGTTTCCTTTTTAATTCATGCGACAGCATGATTCAATTATTCTTTGAAAACCTTGTTAAAAAGCGATCATCATTAGGTGTCGTCAAATGCGATTTTCCAGAACGATAGGAATCAACGTAAGATTTTGTCTATTTAAATCGTTTGATGATGTTAGCACCAAACTATGTTTGATGAAAATGCATCACTATTATGCGATCTTCATAGGTAATTGCTTTTCTACTGATTTTTACAAAAGAAATTTTTTTTTTTTTTTTTGTTTGAATTTAAATATTTTTCATTTTTTTGGCAATGACTCAGGTCATAAATAGAATATTTAAACAAAAAAGGCAAAAATAAATTAAAAAAAAAAGACGTTTCTGCCGCATTTAGTACGAAAAATTCTTTGTGGTTCTTAACTTTTTCACAAAATAACTATAAAAAAAATTAACGTATAATATTTAATCCTTATTTTTATAAGTTTTATTAACTAATTTTCAAATTTTTTTGAAAATTAGTTCGTTTGATATTCGAGTACGTTTCTATATTACAAGAACTTTTTTAAAAATGAAACATGTTCTTTCGTGTTCTTTCTTTTGCATTAATTTAATCATTTGGCGTTTAAAGCATTTTATTTCAATATAAACTGCTGTTTATTTATTTCATACTTTTATTTATAATACTGGTAATAGATTAGCTTTAGATTCTAAATCCTCCATTACCAAAGAAACGCTTTGTCAGTTTAATTTCTTTCTTGATTTCAGTTAACTAAATATATTTATTTACTAACTTTGTTAATGAGATGAGATATTTAATATTTAATATTTAAAGTTAATATATTGAAATAAAAATTTATTTGAAGTTCAGCGTAGCCCTTGGCAACGTCAGTATTATGCTACTAATGTTTTTGTCAGACCGTTTCAATATTACAAATAGGGTGTTTTAAAAATGACTCCGAAAAAGTATCCCGTAAAAAAATTTAAAAATTAAAAAAAAAAAAGCCCTTTTCAATTGTTATACTTTTAAAATTATATTTTAATATATTCTCCCTAAAATGTAAACACAAAATTTAGTTTAGTAATAAAGTTTACTCAGGAAATTTTATCTGGTTAATAAACTCGAAAGCTGGTTTTGATTGGTTTTGGTCAAAAAGTTTCTTTTTAGCTTTTTTAGTTTTACGATGTAACAAATTTTACGTTTTAACGAATATAAAGCTTATATATACTTGTTATAAAATAACAATTGAATTAATAATAGTTTAAAAAACTATGATATCTATCAAATAACATGCAAAAACAGTTAATTTGGTTAGATCAATGTGAACACTTTAGTGTGCAGATCAGAATTATAGAGCTTTCATTTAAGGAACTTTTACAAAACAATGTAAGCTAATTTATAGGCCTACTGGTTGAGTGACATTAATACTTCGGTATTGTTCTTTCACAATTTTTGGTTTTAAATTGTTGAGATGTTTAGTATATTTGCCATGATCCATATTTCTGTATATTCGCTGCTACTCTTAACAATGTTTTTCAGACATTTTTTACCTCTGGTTAATTTTGAAACGCCTTATATTTCCAAAACATTTAGTTGTTGTGATCTTGAGCAGAAGCGGAGTTTAGTAAACACGGGCGTAAATATTTAAAGTTAATATTTATCATATTAAAATTAAATTAAATTGTTTTAAATCGAATACTCTATAAACTAATTTTGTTAATGCTAAAAAAGTATGAACTTTTTCATATACAATACTCATATAAAAAGTTATTATTTACAGCTCTATTTTATTTATCTACCCCCGTTATTTATTAATAAATATTGAGCACAAATTATTCTTTTATTCTAAACTATGCTTTTGTATTTGACTACCTTTCGGAACCAATCGTTTTCAAAATTTACACTTTCAGAGTATGTAAATTGGGAATAGATTAATTTTAGGAATTGGAGCCAGCTTGGCTTTACTACTTTTAAGTAATTCTTTTCATTAAAAGTTAAATTCGATCCGCTTGAAGAAGTGAAATTGTGTATTGAGTTAATAAAAAGTTTAGCATTGTGTAACTTTTAGTTAGGTTTACTATCTGTTTGAGATTTTTCTTTTATATTATTTTATGTTATAGGTTTTCTCAATAAAATACAAAAGCAAATTTAGTTATTATTATAAGGAGTAGTAGCACAATATCATAATTGCTTTTGCTGACGATGTCGGATTTTTTCCTATTGTTTTTTAAAATTTATGTTATTTATTATAAGACTATATATATATATATATATATATATATATATATATATATATATATATATATATATATATATATATATATATATATATATATATATATATATATATATATATATATATATATATATATATATATATACACACACCTAGTTTTGGGATAAATATGCTTTTTAAAAATGTCATTGTTTTTTAATTTTAAGTTAAAAATAAAATGATGAAAGTAAATTACTTTGAATTGGCATCAATACAAACTGTTGATGCAAAAAAAGTTATAGAATCTATTGAAGAAGATGAACTTTATCCTGGTCGTAAAAGAAGGAAGTTGGATAATTTAAATGTAGATGAAAGGATTCTTCGTAGGTGAGATAACAAAAAAGCTATTTTTACTAACATACATTGTGTACACTTTTTAAATTCAAAATTGACTTTATTTTGTAATAAATTTAGAAAATTAAAAAATAGAGTAGCTGCACAGACAGCTAGAGACAGAAAAAAAGCTCATATGGAAGATCTAGAAACATGTCTTGCTAGAATTGAAAAAGAAGTAATTTTTTTAATTAAGAAGTACAATAATTTTTTTTAAACTACTTATTTTAAATATATAATAAAATAGAATCGCGCTTATACAATTTTTCTCTAGAACAAGTTTTTGAAGAAAAGTAACCAAGAACTCCGTTCACAAATTCATAATCTCAATGAAAAAAACATGCAACTACAAATACGATTAGGCCTCACTCCTCCATCTTCTCCATCTCAAGATTATACTTGTCCAACAATAAACAAATATCAAAAAAATGATAGTCATATAATAACACCGTCAGTTTCTGATCATGACCACATTGTGATCAAGAAAGAAGAATTATCAACTGAGCATGCATCGCTTAGTGTGGTTTCCCAGCTGAGGAATATTGTACTGATAATACTTGTTTCATTAGTCACGATGTGCGAGAAGAATCACAAGTAATTACTTCAGTATTATGATTTTTTTTGTTATAATTAATTAAGTTTTATGTTAGAATGAATGAAAATAAGAATAAATAAGATAAAGGTTTATTTATTTTTCTTATAATAACTTTGTAATATATTAAAATGCACCTGTTTTTATAGCAACAAAAAACAATTATCTCTTAAATAAATATTCTCTGAGTTTGTTTAACTGTTTGTTGTTGAATTAATACTATTGTTGTTAAAGTTTTAAAAAAGTTAAAGTTTGTATTTATTTAAACAACAAAGAAGAAGTTTGTTCATAACTTTATTTATATTTACATAGACTTCTAGAGTGTAGGAGAGCTTCTGCACTTAGCATCAGAGTATCTAGAGGCTTCAAAATAAAAATTAAAGATATAATTTTTATTTTTTTAAGAAAAATATTAAACTATGTGTTTGAAAATTTCTAAATTCATGACATAACTATTTGTTTTAGGTGTTATGATTCCTTTTATCTATAATATCTATAATTTATATATATATATATATTTTTTTAATCTTAAATTTATTATTTTCTTTTTCTAAAAATGACCTGATTTTGATTGCTTTTTGTCATTTTTAGACTGAGTTGTTACTTGATATTGAAGAATACGAAGAACCAAAATATGCAATTAGACCATGCTTTGAAGTTACAATTTCATCAACAACACTTGTATCAGAAGAATCTAAATTTTCTCCCCAATATATTCTTACTAAGCCAAAAGAGTTTGATGTTGACGAGTTTTTATCAGATACAAGCCATGAGTTTACTTGCCCGATTAGCCCAGAGTCTGAGTTGGCGACTCCTGACTCTAGCTCATATGACAGAACTGATGGTGTCATCACACTCAGCACTAACACAAAAAAATGCATGGTGGGGCTCGACTCCAAAAATGGATCCAGCAGTATAATTGATGAAAGATTTGTAGATGACAATTTTTTCATATTGCCTAATGAATTAACGACTATGAATGATGACTGTAATATTGACTTTAATGATGCTTTATCTGAACTATTTCCTTCATTGATAAGTGTTTAACTATACTTAAATTGCATAGCTTTAGTGAATTAAAGCTGTTTAAATTAAATATTTTGTATAAATTGGAATAATTTCTTATTTAAAAATTTTTTTCTAGTATTATTTTTATACTATTAAATATCTTGTATTTTAAGACTTAATTTTAGATAATATTATATTAGCTAAAACTTTTATAATTACTCTAGAGAAAAAAAGTTTGTAAATTTGATATTGCGATTTTGTAAAATTTACAAAATGCAATATCAGTTCTTTTATTATTTAAAAACGCTCTATTAATAGTCACTTCCTTTTTCTTAATTGATTCTTCTTTAATTCTGCCAAGTTTGATATTTCATCAACAAATGCTTTATACTGATACATACATGCATACATACATACATACATACATACATATACACAGACAAATCGTATTATCTGTACGCGTAATTAGTTACTTATCTACTTGAAAAACTAAAATATAAGAAATAAAAGTTCGAAGTACAAGAATAATTGTAGGATTAAAAACTAATGGAATTAAATTCATTAAATGACATAACGACACAGTTTTTTAAAATTTCACAAAATAGTTCCATTGAAGATTTAAATACTTTGTATTTTATAGACGCTTCTTGATTACTTCTTGAGTAGTTTAAATTTAATTATTATGTGACAATTTTTTTCTTGTGGGCCCCATCCAATAAATTTGCAATAATGGTATAGTTACGTCAATGAATTTCGACGTTTTCATTACAGAAAATGTGTTTTATATTATATATATATATATATATATATATATATATATATATATATATATATATATATATATATATATATATATATATATATATATATATATAAATTTTAATAAAAATCACAATATTTTTTATTCTTGACACGTTTCGTAGTCTTACTACATTCAAAAGATTTAATTTACATTCTTACTACATTCAAAAGATTTAATTTACAATTAAAGCTCACGTAAATAAATTTAAAAACTAAAGACAATACTGAGTGAAAACATTTAAGTTTTTTCAAAACTTAAATGTTTTGAAAAAGACATTTACAATAACATTTATCCTGTTGGTTCAAAACCAGCAAGAATTTATGCTCTACCTAAGATGCACAAACTTAATAAAGATTCTTCTCTGCCATCTTTTCGACCAATTATTTCATTAATTGGCACATATAATTATAAACTTGCTGAAAATCTTTCAGACCTATTATCTCCATATTTACCAAAACATTATACCACTTTTGACTCATTTTCATTCGTTGAAGATTTAAAACAAGTTGACGTAACTAACAAATTTATAGTTTCTTATGATGTTGAAAGCTTATTTACTAACATTCCACTTAATGAAACTATAAATATAGCAACAGAATTGTTTTTTAATGATAAAACTCGCTTAAAATATTTTTTTAAAACTCATTTTAAAAAATTACTTCAAATTTCAACGCCAAGTTCTCATTTCTTATTTAACGGAAAATTTTTATGATCAATTAGATGGCGTTGCAATGGCTTCTCCTTTAGCGCCAATTTTAGCTAATATGTTTATCGGTTTTCGTGAACAAACGTGGGTTAATAATTGCTCATCCTCCATACCGATTTTTTATAAACGTTATGTGAATGACATAATAGCAATTTTTAATTCAGAGTTTGAAGCGCAAGAATACTTAAAACATCTCAATAAACAACACAAAAACTTAAGATTTACTACGGAAAAAGAAAAAGACAACCAAATTCCATTTTTGGATGTTCTTATTAATAAGTCTAATTCACTCTCTACATCAGTTTATCACAAAAAAACATACACGGGTCTTTTACAAAATTTCTTTAGTTTTGTCCCTTCATGTTACAAAACTGGTCTTATACGTTGCATGATTGATCGATCGAACATATAAAATTAACACCACGTGGTTTGGATTTGATAAGGATAGAAAAAATCTTTCTTTAGTTTTTAAAAAATAATAATTTCCGCAAAAAGTTATCAACACTGAAATTAAATTATATTTTGAAAAGAAAATTAATCCACCTGTTATAAATACTGTTGATAATACTAATATAAGATATTTTAAGCTTCCATTTATTGGATTTTACTCAAATTTCACTAAAACTAAAATTGATAAAATTATTAAATAGTATTGTAAAAATGTAATAATCAAATTTATATTCACAACCGATAAATTAAAAAACAGTTTTTGCATAAAAGATCCACTTCTTAAGATGCTTAAATCTAACGTTGTCTACAAATTTTCTTGTGCTGGCTGTAACGCCAGTTATATTGGAGAAACCTCCAGACATTTGACAACAAAGATAAATGAGCATCTTACGAGTGACAAGGAATCGCATATTTTTAAACATTTAAATTCATCCATTAATTGTAAAACACTAACTAATTATGATTGCTTTCAGATTATGGATACTGCCATTAACAGATTTTTGGATACTGCCATTAACAAATTAAAAATAAAAGAAGCACTTCATATTAAATGGGAAAATCCTTCTTTAAATAAACAAACATCTCATTATATTATAAATTTATCTATCTAACTTACTATATTATTATTATTATTATTATTATTATTATTGCTATTATTATTATTATTATTATTAATATTTTAATATTAGGAAGTTCATTTTGTCATAATTTGTAATATAATTTTTAATTGGTTTGTAACAAGTTTATTTGTCCGTTAATTTTTTCTCTGTATTGTCTTCAGTTTTTAAATTTATTTATCAGAGTTTTAATTGTAAATTTTTTTTTTTTTTTGTTTTTTTGTTTACATTTACATTTGTTGTCGTAGTAAATAAATTACTTTCACAAACAAACAAGGTTTCTGAAAGAAGATCGTACTGATCTTATCATCAGAACCTTTTACAAACGTGTGTATATAAACTACATCAAAACATAATCAACAAAATAAAACGTAATAAACAATAAAAGTTCTAAAGAAAATATAAAGTTAAAAAAATCTGACTACATCATCCATTAAGATAATTAAATTTTTCAATTTATATTAGAAAGCGGGAAAAGTAAAATGCATGTTAAAATTGGACAAAACAATTTTATTCCAAAGATAAGGTGCACGATATGCAATACAAAACTGATAAAAATTGGTTCGACAAAAGGGCTTATATATAAAATTATTGTTTCTAAGTGTATACTTATTTATTGGCTTCAAACAAAAGAGATATTTGAAAACGGGTAAAGATATGTCATTTTTCCACATATACATAAAGCACAAAACATTAAAAACATTAAGCTCATAAATATTGAGAACTTTTATTTCAATAAAAAGTGGTTTGGAATGAGTGTATCGATCCGCAAAATTTATTAAACGGATCGCATGTTTCTAACGGCGATAAAGGCATTTTAACTTACTTTTTTCAGTGCTTCCCCATGCAACATTAGCATAATTTAAATAACTATGAGTAGTAAAGTTGAGTTAGACTTTTTTTACATAAATATGTTTTGGTTTTATATAGAATTCCAATATTTTTAGAAATTTTTGTACCAATATAGTCTATATGGTACAAAAACTCCATATACTTTTAATAGGATATCTTTTAGGTATTCAAAACATTCTATGACTATATTACCGTTTCTATCATCTGCTCCGGTTGATTTATTTTTTTAAAGAGTTTTGAAAGCTTTTTCAAAATCTTGAAAAGATAGTTCAGAAGATAATTCGTTGGAACTAGTGCAGTTATCCATTTGGACTAAAAAATCTCTAAATGTAGCATTTGTATAAGGATTTTTTTTTGCTAGTTTAGGACCGATGTCACCAAAGAATTTATTAAATTCATGAGCTGTAGCTCTTGATTCGCATATATGTTTGTTATCAACTACAATCGTTTGGGGGAGGAAACCTGAGCACTTTTTTTGTCTACCACTAATTTCATTCATTATTTGCACTAATTTCATTCATTATTCATAATTAAATCTTTTGAAAATGTAGTAAGACTACGAAACATGTCAAGAATAAAAAATATTGTGATTTTTATTAAAATTTTTACAAATTTATTGCTAATGTGATGTTCGAAATATATATATATATATATATATATATATATATATATATATATATATATATATATATATATATATATATATATACACTACTAGTGCTTGATTTACGGGTACTTTTTTTTTCCCCGTTAATTGCAATTTTTATTTCTCTATTTTTACTATATTTTTCATATATGTTCTTTTTTTTTATATTTTTATTTTATGTCAATTTTTATTTATTCATTTTTAAATTTATTATTTTCGTAAAAAATTTATAATAAATTTATTTTTTATAATTATTTTTATTATTTTTATTTAATTATTATCTATTATATTTTATATTTTTATAAATATATTTACAAAACGATTATTTACATTAAAATAACTAACCCTAACGCTAACCCTAACCCTATGCCTGACCTTGCTGCCTGGCCAAACCAAACTCTCAGTCGATGTAGCAGCATTCCCTTGCGAGTCAGGCTATTTGTCAGCCGATGTATGTAATTTTGGCTTTGCATAAAAACTATTTACGGGGACATTTTTTTACAAAAAAAACGCCACTTACGAGGACAAAAAATTATCGAGTACACTAAAATATCCCCGATACTGCTAATGTCCTCGTAAGTATCCTTTTTATAGAATAATAAATTCAATCCTAATGTGCTTTATCTTACTTCTAAGATCCTTAAACTATGTGACCTTGTTCAATTCTTGAATTGCCAGATTATCTGGAATCACCAACACAAAAACCTACCTCTTACCTTCAACAATTTATATCAATAAATTAAATATATCAATAAATTTTTTTGTAAAGCTTTAACATTGAATGTAACACTATTTAGATATTTAGTAAATGCTATATATTTATAATATATCCGTATAGGCAATATCTAAAGCGATATTGTTTTTTATATATGAGAACAAAAATTATAAAATCGCTTGTTTGAATTTACTTTTTATAATTCAATTTACCTCAATGTCTGTAAAATCAGGTTAAATATTTAGATAGTAACAGTTTAAAAATACCCTCAATTAAGAAAATATATAATTGCAATAATTAAAATTATCAATAAATAAAAACATCAAAAGTAAAACATTT